CGATCGCGGCTTTGTCCTCCCGCGGATGCCGGGGCCGAGCGCGAAAGCCCCGCGCCCAGAGCTGCCTCCGCGTGCCCGGGACCCAGGTCTCAGCAGCCGGGTCTGAGGAGCGCCTCGCGCGGAGCAGAACAGCCCGAGGGTCTATGCGCGTAGGGGGCGTCTGCCTGGACCTTAGGGTGCTTGAGGGGGTACTAGATCTGTCCTGCCTAGCACGTGCCCATCCGGGTCTGGCTCCCCGCTGCGATGCATGAGCGGAGCGGGGTGGGGAGGATCGTCTTGACTTAGGACCCCTAGCCTGAATCCAGGAAAAAGAGGGCCAGGGGGATAAGGCCCAGGAGGGGTTCCTCAATTCCTCCTACTTTTCCCCACTGCACACCCCACCCCTAGGCCACTCCGACCTTAGGCTCGGGGGCCCAGATCGCGGAGGACCCTAAGAATCCGTCAGTGCTTTCCTGTTTCGACGACTCCAAGCAGGGTGGGGAAGGGATCTCCAGGCCTTTGCCCCTCACATCCCAATCCCCCCCCTAAACCCCATGACCCAGTTGGCGGGTCCAACTGGGAGAGGGAAGAGTCTTCTGTCTCCATCTCCATCCCGTCCCCCACTCTTCACAAAACCCTAGGTTTGGAGAGGGGGTGGCTACGGGGAAGGGTCTTCCTGACATCTCCAACAGCCCTTCCTCAAAAACCCCAGGAGGGTCTGAACAGGGGAGGAGGAGTCCCGCGGTTTCATTCGTCAAATCCAGACACTCTTTGTAATCTCAAGCAGCCGAGGTATTGTGGGGAAGGGTCCCCGTCTCCTAACCTTTCATCCCAGAACATTCCCTCCCATCCTCAATAATCCAAGCAGCCTCGACTTCAGGCACAGGCAAAAGGAGGCTACAAGCTCTCAGCGCCCTCTCTGGAGAGGTGGTGGGGCAGGTCCCCAGCCCTCTCCCCTCACACTCAAGAGCCCCCTCCACCAAAAGACAAAACCTAAGCAAAGCTGCTCACACCTCAGGCACCGTACCACAGAGAAGCTCGCCAGGAGTCAGTCAGCAGCACTCTGGGACAGGTGGTCTTGAGGATGGTGAGGACAGGTCCCATCAACTCCCCAGGCCCCCTCACGCCTCAGTTCATTCTCCCCCAATAAAACAAAAGCGAATCCAGCAGCACCGACCTCAGAGAGTCAGGAGGGCGGTCAGCACCCTGGAGGGCACCCTGCTCCTCCGGGCTCCTCACGGCCCCGGCTTCCAGGCGATGGCTCTCGCGGCGGCGGCGGCTGGCGACCGCGGCTCTCGCGTCCGGAGCCTCCCTCGGACTCAGCACCTGGAGCGGCGAACAGCTCCGCGCCTCATTCGGCTGACCCCGCCTCCTCCGCGCCACCGTAGCCAATGGAGACCCGGGCCCCGCCCAGGAGGCCGCCCATTGGGGGCGTCGTTCCTACTCCCTTCGGCCCCGCCTGCGGGTTCCTCCGTCTCTCTTGCAAGACCGCATCCCCCAGAGACGGCCAGAGTTTTCGCACAGCCTTCTGGAATTTGTAGTCCTTTAAGGACACGGACTGGGTTCATGCTGCGGGCAGGTAACCGGAGATGGACTGCATTTCCCAAGGTGCATTGAAGAAACGGAGGCGCCAAGGAGGGCGGGAGGACCGTTTCCATAGCAAAGGCGGCTGGTGGCGGATGGCTGAGCGAGAAATGGGGCAGGCAGCGGGACCCTCGAAGGGTTGTGCGTGATTTCCGGCAGCCTCTTGGGAGGCCGTGTCTATTATGTCTTCTCCTCGGTCCCCACCCCAGGACTCTGAGCCTCAGTTTTCTTACCTGGAAAGAAGGGCGTGGAGTAGTCCCCCCGCCCACACTCCATGGTGTTGGGCCAAACCCAGGGCGAGCCCCTTTGGTTTGCCCAGCAGAGATGAGAGAGGACGGAGACCTGCGACTTAAGAGTGGAAGGGGCGCATTCGAACTTTATTCCTTTATTTTTGTCTCTCTCTTGTCATAGAGGAGCGCTTTACTTTTGATCATATTCCTTGGGCCAACAAGGCCTTCCCATCCCGGATTCTGGCCTCCTTCAGACGATGCCGCAGCGTCTCCCACAGCGTAGCCAGAGGGCGCTTCTCCGGCTTAAAACCCTTCACAAGGTTTCCCATTGCCTCCGGAATTAAACACACATTCCTCAATATCACTCTAAAGTCCCTTCAAGATCTGGACTCCATCTTCTTCTTGCAATACTCCAAACTTCTTTGGAAACTGGGAACCCTTAAGCACCCGTTTTCTCACTCCCATGGGTCCCTCCACCCTGCACTCAGCTAACCCCCCACACTCTTCAAGCTCCAGCCTAGATGCTGCCTCGTCAGTGAAGCCTTCTCAGATGCCTGGCTCCGTATGAGGTACCTCATCTTGTGTTTGAGCAGCACCCTCTACTTCCCCTACTTTACCTGCGTGTTCGAGTATTCATCTTCCACATTAGATTATAAGATCCCCACAGAGCAGGGGCCATATCTGTATTACTCATACTTACAGTCCAGTGCTCACAGACACTATAGTCTGGCACATAGTAGGTACTCAACAGATGTTTGTTGAATTGAAAATGAATGTACTGTAATTTAATTTCACTCACTCACACCTCCATGATCTTGATCTCCTAAGGTTAGGTGTTTCCCATTGCTGAGAGTGTTTAACTAGAGGGATGCCACCCGCTTGAAGAATTTATGTCATTCATACAGTGGATTGGAATTTTGCCTGAGTGCTCTGAGGGGCTTTCCAAGCCTGTGACGCTCAGGAGTGATAGATTCATGCCTGTTATTCCTCGGAAGTCTTGTCAATTCTCCCCTAAATGTCATTGGTTCTTCATGTTCCTCCATTTCTAGCTGTTGGCCCTTCTTTCTGTGCCTAAACACCCTAACTCCCACTCCCTTTCTGGGAAAGATCTTCTGCTCCTGTCAGTTATGAAGTGTAGAGTGTTTGAGATCCCTGCCCTTCTTTCAGCCCTCTACTCAGCATCATAGGGCCCTGGTGGTGATACCCTACCTTGCTAGGTAGAATCTTCTATGAATCTTTCCCTGCTTCAGGCCCTGGTGTTAGCCAGATGGCCCAATTAACCCCACAGATGCTTCATACGTCACTTCATCCAGACCTTTTGAGTGTATTTTAACTAAAGCTTTCTTGGGAGAATGCCTTAATAAACAGGAATAATTAATTCGTGGCCAAAGAAATAACCAGGGTGACTATTACCCTAAACCTCATTCAAACCAAAAAGACAGAGACTGAGAAAGCAACCCTATCATCCTTGCGTTGATGACATCCAGGGAGGGAAGGCTAGAATGGAAGAATGAGTCAAATGGTTTGCATTTAGGGAAGAACTAACAGGACTTACAAGAGGCAAGGCAGAGGGTCTTTGATCTTGGCTAAACCAGGAGGAAGGGCCTTTGGAGCTGGGTGGACAGATGGGGGCCTCATTACTGAAGATGAGAAAACTGGAAGAAGGCGGGGAGAAATGGGATTTGTGCTGACACAGAGTGCCTAATTTTGTGGATGCAGTGAGAGCAGAGGCTGTTGGAAAAGCAAGAAGTGGAAGGACTACACCACAGGGTGGGCATCAGCACAGCATCGGCAAAGTATCAGCAGAGGGCCACCAAAAAAACCACCTGGAGCCACAGTTGAAACTCTGGAGGTCAGTTTAGCCTTTCAGGAGTAGTGCTAGTTTTCAGGAAATTGTTACAAGTATGGTAAAAGTCAGGGTTCCACGGTTCTCCCAGAAAGCAGGGACTAAAATAGCATTGACCCAGCCAAGCAGAGTCAGGAAACCTGGATTCTAATTCTGACTTTGTCTCTGATTAAATGTGTGACCCTGGGCTGGACCCCAGTTGTAAAATGCTATTTATTGGTGGTAGGGAGCAGCTAATAAGGTGGAGGTGGGGGAATTCAGGTCTATTTACTAGCTGTGTGACCTTGCTCAAACTATCTTCTCAGATCTGCAGTTTGCTTATTTAACAATGTTATAATGGATAAATAAGATGCCCATGTAAAGCACTTCATAAATATTAAGCCCTTAATGAACATGTGTCTGTTTCCACATTGTTCATCTTGGATTATCAGAAATTGGTTTGACTGAATAAATAGGCAAAAGGTAATGTCCTGGGTAATCTGGGTTCAAATCCCCATTCTCTCTCTTATTAGTTGTATGATTTTGATCAGGCACATGCTCAATGTATTATCATTTTTAAGGAGTGGCTTTAGAGTAGAGAACCCTAGGAAACAGGAATTCTAGATGCTTATAAGCTAGAGTTCAAAGGATTCCAGAGGAACATTGAGCTGGCCTCCTACCTTGTTAGAGGGGAAAAAGGTCTCAGTGAAGTTCCATAGGTCTTCTAATTCAGTAACAAGGGGATTAACCAGAATGCTGAATCTCAGACATTGGGCTGGAGAGATTAACCAGGGCTGGCTCCTGAAGAGAAATATAACTTTAATCTAATGAAAATGAAAGTTTGTAAGGTGATATGCCTTTTGAAAAGGTCTAGCCCCTTTGTGAAAAATGACCAGGGGAAGATGAGGCTTAGATGTAGGTCAGAAGCTGCTGCAATGATCCAGCCCAGCGTCTTTGAAGACGGGAAGAAAGGGGTAGATCTGAGATGTATTAGGTGGTAAATGTTCAGAGGGCTTTGTGAGTTGTGAGCTGAGGGCGTGGAGGAGAGTGTGAGTCAAGGGTGATGCCCAAGTGTCTGCCTTGTGTAGCTAGGTGGAAGGATGGTGGCATTTTCCCCTGAGTTACAGAATAGTAAAGGAGCAGGTTTAGGCAGAAAGAGGAGGAGGTGAGTTTGAGGTTAGTGGGACATCAGGTGAGATGCCCATTAGGTGACTTGGAACTTGTCTTGGGAGAATGCCTTAATATAAGGGCGTAATTAATGCATGGCCAAAGAAGAAGTGATCAGGGGGACTAGTACCCTGAACCTAATTGAAACCAAAAAAACAGAGCCTGAGAGCCTGTCATCCTTCCAGAAATCTGATCTGGAGAAAGAACCTTAAGTTTTCAAGTTTTCAACATCTACATCATATCTGAAGCCATGGAAACGAATGAAATCCTTTAGCAGAGAGGCTGAAAGAGAAGACCAAAATCCCTTGAGGGGTGCTAGCATTTAAGGGACAAGTAGAAGGAGAGGAGCCCAGAAGTAAAGTTGAGAACAGAGAGATAGGAGGAAAACCAATGGATGGTGTGCCACAGAAGCCAAATGGAGGAAGTGAGGTTATATGATGCAAAACGGTCTAGTCAGCCAAAGTCTGAACAAGTGAACACCAAATTTAGCAACAAAGAACTCACTGGTGAGAGACAGTAGGTTCTTGGAGTAGCAGGGGCAGAAGTCTGACTGTGTGGGAAGTGAATGTAGATAACTCTTGTTAGTAGTTTTGAAGGGGACGAGTGAGAAAACCAGAAAGAGTGTAGAATTGGGAGACAATTTTCTTTTAAGTTGGGAGAGACTAGGACGTTTAAAAATGCTGTTGGGGAAAAGCCAGTATAGGGAACACTGAGGATACAGGAAGGAGAGAGGGATTGAAGAATGAGGTGAGATCAGCAAGAAGATAGAAGGTGGTGGGGTTCAGAGTGAGCCTCAGGTGGGAGAGGGGAAGGAAGGTAGGTCAGCAGGTTGGTAGGTAGGTAGTTGGGTGGTGGGCTCAGGAAACAGAGGGAATTCATAACCAATAGCCATCACTTCTCTTGTGATAAGAGGCAAGGATATGGGTTCAGTGTGAGGAAATGGGATGGGGTGGGAAGCTTGGAGAAAGAGGAAAGTGTTCAAGATGGCTGCTGTGGAAAAGAGGAGGGAAAGCTAATAGCGACCCACAGAGACTGCAGGGCAGCGCTGAGGGTCCGCTGAGGCTGGAGGCCATGTGTTTGTGGAGGCAATAATCTATGAAGCTGTGGACTTTCTTTAGCATCCCAACAGCCCTGAGATAGGTGTGGAGAAGGCTACTGGTGAGGCTGATCCAGAGCTGGGCTTTGCTGTACAACAGAGACAAGAAAACAAGGCAATTGGAGATGTTGACAAGGGAGGTAGAAATGGTAGTCCACCAAGAAGAAGGAGGTGAAACCAGGATGGAGTGGACAGATGGGGGCAGGGCTCTCTGTGTGTGAGAGGATGGATGTGATGGGTGGGAGGGAGGAGCAGAAAGGTTCAGGTAATTTTGGTCAGAGGTACAGGAGCCTTGGTCAGGGGAAGGGGCAAGGTGATTGGAGTAGACAGAGAAGGTTGTAGTTTGAAAGGCAAGCTTGCTGGATGGGTCACTGGCAAGTCTTCCAGAAAGATGTCTGCTTTGAAGGCAAGAGGAACT